TCTATCTTGAATTAAAATTGAATCGAAGTATTCTTATTTTTTATTAATTATAATAATTTTAAGTTACTAAAATAACCTTAAAACCAAGTTATTATTTTTTTTAATAAAAAATTAACATTCAGTCTAAAACAAAATAATTTTTTTTCAAAGTACTAATTAGTTTTTATGCTATTACATTTGAAATATTTAATTGTCCAGTTAAAAAACTCACAATGTAACCAATCGGTCTCTTATAAAAAAAGCTTCCTTCACATGACTAAAAATAATAGTTTAGTCTTTTTGCAAAAATAAAATAAAAATAGTTTAGTGGTGGTTAAGGAATTGCGTTATGTACTTTAATTATTGCCCAAACAAGAAAGTTTTGTAAAAATAAAATTGCCTTCTTATGATTTTACTAAAGCAAAAAAAAAAAAAAAAAATACATTACCATTTGTTTACCAAAAAATAAATAAAAATACATTACCATTTCACCCAAAAGAAAGAAAGAAAGAAAGAAAATTTACCAATTAGCAGCAACTCACGTACAATTAGGTAGTGTTTGGTTGAAGGATTATTTTGGGATTGATGGGAAAGTGTAAGTGGATATTGGAGAATATCACGTTTGGTTTAGGTTTTTTCAAAAAAATACTAGGCAAATGGGATAGATGGGAAAATGACTTTTGTGTTGATTTTTGGATGAAATTCACTGTTATAGAATACCACTTGAGATGTGGTATTTTGAGATAACTGGGGAAGTGAAAAAACAGGTGCGAAGTTTCTCCCCAACATAGATTTTGCAAATTTAAATAAATTTCCCTGGTAATATTTCGGTCAACCAAACAACTTTTTTTACATTTTCCTACTAAACTCACTTTCCAACCATTTCCCTAGTATTCAAAAAATTTCTCCTCAACCAAACAACCCGTTAAAGCTATCTCAATGGCCTTAATTAATTTTGCTAATTTTTACGGGAAAGGCTTACAATAATCAATTTAAAAAGTCGTGCAAACTGTAAAGCATAATGATTATCTTCAGTTGATGCACACGTATGGTCATACCCCGCGGTCAAATTCACAAGAAGTCAAAAAAAATAGGAAACAAGGGAAATAGATCCTCTCATGTGCTAAAAAATATAATATGATATGGTCATATGAGAAGATCACAATCATACAAAAGTAAATTAACGGTTATGATTTCATAACTATCTATTTTATCATTTTTTCTCTCTCCTCCTTTTTTATCATTGATTTACTATTGTATAATTATGATTTCCCACGTGACATGATCATGTGAATTTTTACGTTAGAGGATTGAAACAAGACTCAACTGAAAAAGTGCCTAAAGTCCTAAACCAAACCGTTAAATTTTTGCCCCAACTCCTCAAAAGATATCTAAAAGACTCCTTAATTCAATTTAATTTTTTTAAAATGGTATTCAGAGAATACATGCATGGGAATTGCAATTTACAAATAAATTAAGCAAATTTTTCCTAGAATAAATATAAATTTGAAACTACCACCATTAGTAGCCATACAATTCATGAACAATCTTATACATTTCGTCTTTGGTCATAATTATTCCTTGCTTAAGTGATTAGAAAAATATAATATAATTTATAATATTCTCTTAATACATTTTAATATTTTGGATTGAATTAATTTTTTATATAGTATTATAGTTTCTATGACCAGGTGGTCACAATTATCCATATTCTAATAATAAATAAATATTATAAAATTTCTTAATACAGGTATGTGGATATGTGTATTGTTTATTCTTTAAATCTAATAGATTTTAATTTGTATGAAAAGACATATTAAAAAAATATAATATAAAATTATTAATACAATATTCATCTAATAATTTAAACTTTTACGTTAACTTGATTCTTTATATAACTTTTATTTTTTTTATATAGGGATATAAACCTTATTTAATTCTTTCAAAGGTATATATATTTGTTATCAATTTAATCATTCATAAAATAATTTTATCAATTTTTTTTATTCTTTTCGGTTTACAGAAATGTTACAGTGACTGCTGGATGCTGTCCGGAGTAGATACAATTAGTTGTGACTCGTGATAGTGTTTTCTTTTTTAATTTTAAATAAATTATAAAAACTTTGGTTATTTGTGATCGTTGGTCAATTCTGGGTCCTGTTTTCTGGACTGCTAAGGATTGTTTATTTAGCAGTCGGAATTGAATTCCAACGCGTCATCAAAATTTTCAAATAAGGTATATATTTTCTAAACTTTAAATATTTGAATATTACTCAGCATGCATTCACGTAATTAATGACTTGACTTATTTATATCAAAGTATAATATTTAAAGATTAGAGGTTGTATTCTGTTTTATAACATTTAAATAGAGGGGTATGATATTTTGTTATTTAAAGTTTGTATTAAATAACTTAAATATCAATCTTAAATATTCGAATATTATGATATTAGGTTAGTCGTTAGAGATTAAAATAAACAAGGCAAGTAAAATATTAGAAACTTAAATTTTGGGAGAATAAATTAATAAGACTAATTTTAAAAAATTAAATTGATATTGAGTATTTATTTAGATATTAAAACATGATTTTTAATCTTTCATTTATTGATTTATGTTTTACTATTATATTATTTATATCAAAATATTTATTATTATTTTTTATAAAAACTTCGGAGTACGTTTTTGTTTGTTCTTAAGTAATGGGTATAAAAAAAAGTATGAAAGCATATATACTACTGAAAGTAAAATAATTTTATGTAAAATTCTTTTATTTCATCAAACACATGTCGTTTCTGTTATTTTAATTTCCCTTTTACGTTTAATACTTTCAATTTATTCTTACATTTCTGTATTTGTTCTTCTTATTTATTAATTACAAATTACGAACACTCTTATCTTGACCGGATCCACTATTATATTATTAAAAAAAATTAAAAAGAACAAAAATAATAATAATTATTTTCAAAATTCAATTCAATTGTGACTATATATATATATATATATATATATATATATATATATATATATATATATATATATATATATATATATATATATATATATATATATATATATATAATTGTTATCCACAAATGAGTCAGTTACTTAACCATTAATTCAGGATTACCTCGATCCATGTCCCATTTTCTTACTCAATTCGGTCTTATATATCTATCAAACCTTAGCTACCCATATATAAAAGGAAATAGATGTAGAAATCTAGAGATTGCTACTTTTTTTTTAGCACACATATGACATATCAACTACATTGGCGAATTAGGTCTCTTTTACTTGGATTTTGATTGAGAAATTATTCTTTACCAATTTTCATGGAAATTTTGGAGGAAAATTTGTAGAATGGTCTCCCACATTAAAAATGAAGGGAGCGATACAAATATCTCAAAAAAGAAAAAGAAAAAAAGGAGCGATTCAAAGATAAAAACGAAGAACAAATAGAGGGATCGATAGACAGAGATATATTATCTTAAAAAAAAAAAATCCAAAAAAATATATACAGAGATAAATAGGTTAATCAATTTCTTATTATTTATTTATTTCTTATTTATCTGCTTAATTAGTTTTTGAATTTTCATAGAAAATATTCAGTAGATATTAGTTATATTAAGTGTCAGATATTTTTAGGTAGGAATATTTTTTTCTGCTACTCTTATATAAAAGTGAATAAATCTCACTCTTTTTTTTCCTCTCTTCTCATTATAATGTGATTCACTTAATTTGATGTGAATGTAGCACAAATTTTTTTCCCACAATAAAAGCAAAAATATTAAACCCAGATATCATATGTCATTATTATTTTTTCTTTTTCAAAATCTTAAATTAAATTCCTTTTAAATAAATTATGGGCATGCTTCATATAACGTGATGCATTTATTTCTTTCAATCTATATTTGTTTTATATTTTATGTTAATTAATTATGTATATTTTCTCTTATAATTTTAAGCTTTATCTTCTTTTTTAATTTATATTTTTCAAAATTTTACCTAAATTTAAAAGTATTCATACAATGAATAGAATACTGTCTAGTATAATCTAATTTTGATTGCCTAACATGATTCAATTTTGTTATGATGAACAGAATAATTTAGAACGTAACATACCAAAGTAAAGTATGACCTATATCTAAAAGTGGTTTAGTTTAATCTATTCTACACTTTAGATTTTTTTTTATCTCACGAAGCACTTCTACATTGTTAAAGAACTAAATTACATAAATTAAAGCTTCCTTCATGAAATTTATGTTTTGTAGATTAATTTGTTAGTTGACATGAAATAAATAAATAAAATATATACCAGTAAATTTAATTAACTTAACTTCAATATTCCATTTTATTGCTCCTGACGTGGTCTTCTAAATGAAATATTCATGTTTTTCTTCTTTTTTCTTTTTTTAATAAAAAGATATAATTGCGAATCAATTGGATTGCAGGCTGATAAGGAAGTACGACAGCATACCACGTGCAACAAAGTCAATCTAAAGAGGTATTTTTATGCTATTGTTGTACGTCTATCCACACACATAAATTTGTATATTTGTTTATCTATTTATGTATATATTTTTATTGAAAAATGTCTATTTTAAAAATTAATAAACTAATTAATCATATTAATAAATATTTTTTTCACTTGAGAACTATCATCCTCATAAATTATTTTCCATTTAATAACTATCAAGTAAGCACTTATTTCTCTGCATAGAAAAATCTTAGCAATTAATGATTGTTTAAAATAATCATTTGAATGCTATTTAATATTATTGTTACTTGTTATTTATTTAAGACTAACAGTTGCAATACACAGCATGTATTGTGTATATATATTTTTTTGGTAACAAAAAGTTCAAGTGGGGTTAAAATCAATATTCCACTAGGGGCACAGGCGCATGCACAGAAGACCTGACAACCTTTTTAAAAAATTTCAAATGAGATTATATATCACTCACTAACAAAATCTTCACATCGATCAGCAAGGTTTAAACTCACTCTCTTGTGGGGTATAGATCACAGGATTTGAATCCACGTCCTTGTGAGGGTATAGATCAAATCATTAGCCAACTGTGCCCAACATTATTATTGTATATTTAAATAGACAGCATGGGTTCTCTAACGCATGATTGAGGGGAAATGGAGATAGAGAAGAGAACTAGTGGCGGTTTGGAGATGGTGGAGAAAGAAGATGATGTAGACAATAATAAGAAGAAGCAACATCGAAGAGGAGGAATCAGAACATTACCTTTCATCCTTGGTGAGCCATCACAATTCTTTCTCATTCTTTTTAAACTCGCTAGCTTAGATTTTAGCTTCTGAATATTCATTTCCCGGTGAATCTTCTTCATAATTGTCCTTCCCTTTTCTCATTCATTTTCCCTGTTTTTCTTTGGCTATGTACATATGTTGGCCAAACATAGAGAGGGATGTTTATTCCGCTTAAGCAAGGTCTTGAGTTTATGTTCTTGTAAATACAAAAAAAATTCTTTGAGAGAGCTAGCTCTACCGTGATGTAGATATTCCCTACTCGAATAGAATTGTCTCCTATTGAAGATATATGTGATTTATCTATAAAAAAGAATTTGATTGAATCTCATTCTGTTGAAGAATTAAGCACGAAAAAAAAAGGAGAGTAACAGCTTGTAATGTGTTTTATCTTTCTAATTCTAATTTTTTTTTTTTTTTTTTTTTTTTTGTATATCTTCTAATTCTAAATTCTAATGTGTTAAAATTTAGACAGATTTTTTTTTCTGTAATTTTTACCTAAGCATTGATGAAAATCTAATTTCTTGTATAACTTACTTTTAGAATCTAATGTTTGATTCATTGGTACACTTTGTACTAGCTAATTAGAGACTGGTTAATTGATGTTAGTTTCATTAATTAATTAATTATCAGTAATAATATAAAAGGGAAGAACTTTACTTATCCTTTTTGAAATAGAATGTAATTTTATTAGAGATAAGGGATATAATATTTTTTTAAATATAACTATATAATAATTTTTTAAATGTACTATTATATATTTTATAAGTAATTATATAAATTATTACATAGTAAAAAAATATCTTATATTATCTTGTTATTTAAGAATAGCAAGTAAACCAAATGAGAAAGTGATTTTGCGTGCCAGAAATTTAGTCGTTTCTTAATAAATGAAGTTTTCACTTAATTTTACGCATAAATTAATTCCATTATAAGGTTATGATTCATCGTACGTATTTTATTATATGAACTTATAAGTTAGATTTTTCAAAATTAAAAATTCATTATATAATTTAAAAAATATTTATACAAAATTTATTTTTCAAAATAAAAATAATTATTAAATTTGTCTTATTATGTCGTTACTTTAATAATTTATTATAATTATTAAATATCTTTTATCACCGAAGATGAAATGAAACAATTCCACGTGCAAATATGCTGTAACTCTTGATTTATATATTGTGCACAACGAAAGAGTGGTTCAGAAATATTATATCTTCTGAAAATTATGTCTTGTATGACTTAATTTTCAAATATAGCGTCTGATTTTCTGATTTATTTTGTACTGACTAGAGTAGATTCTACTTAGTAGATGTTAGCTTCATTTATTAATTAACTATCATTAATAATATACAAGCGGATAATTTATATCTTCTCCTATTTTTTAATAAAAAGATAAAATTTTATTTAAAAAAATAAATATAATTAGTGTATTTTATAATACATTATAATGAGTTATTGTATCATAAAAATTATAATTTTTTTTTAAATAGAATTATATCTGATCTCATTAAGTATAGCAAATAATCAAAATAAAAAGTTAATTTGACCGGGATAGGATATTGTGACACACAAATAATGTTACGTACAATGTTACGACCACATCTTAACCGTTGATTTCCGCCATTTATCATTTTTCAAATCAAACTCATTAATTAATTATTAATTCACAATAAATGATAACCGTTGATTGGCGGAAATCAACAGTTAAGATGAGGTCGTAACATTGTGCATAACATTATTTGTGTGTCACAATATCCTATTCCAATTTGACCTGCCAACAATTTATTGGTTTCTTAATAAATGAACATCTCCCCTAATTTACGCAAAATTAACTGAACTATATGGTTATGATCCCCCGAAGATGAATTTTTATACACATGATTCCCCTTAAATTGAATTTTTAAAGGAGTGTAGAATTTATAAAATTAACGTGTCATTATATTCTTTTTTAAATATTATATATTAATTTAAAATTTTAAAATATAAAATAAACATAAAAAATATTTTTGTATAATTACTTTATCAATTTAAGAGTATATTAATTTTTTAATATCTTTTTTCACTGAACATGAAAAGAAACTACAGTTTCCACGTGCAAATGTGCTGTAACTCTTGTCTCGTGTATTGTCCAGATATACATACACTTAATGGTCCCGCATATACGAATTCTACTATTATCCGCAAAGAAGAGTGGCTCAGAGCATACCATAATCTCTGAAGCTAAAACAATTTTCTTTTTTAAAAAATAAAAATAAAAGAAAAATAAAGGCTTGTCCTGTCCTTTGTTCACTTTTATGCTCAGGGAAATAAGTAAAGGTGTAATTAAAAAAAAAATTATCACATTATTATGTGACGTGAACAACGTGAAATGACCCATTTATATACAAAAATTAATGGACTAATTCATGATTAGTTCTGCGAAAGATGCCAGCCACGCCTAGTATATTTTTACATGTATAACAAGAAAGTCTCATCGTGATTATTTATTTTCTATGTTTTTTCTAAATAGTTTTTTTTGTTAATACTCCTTAACTTATCTTCCCTACATGAAAAAAAGTTAATTTGGACTGGTTGGGTATTGTGGATATCTATGCAGGTAATGAATTGTGTGACAGATTTGCCGTGGCTGGTTTTAATGCTAACTTGATAAGTTACCTGACCCAAGTGCTGAACATGCCATTGGTATCGGCCTCCAACACACTTACAAACTTTGGTGGAACATCTAGCTTCACCCCTCTCATTGGTGCTCTCATTGCAGATTCCTTTGCTGGCCGATTTTGGACCATTACTGTTGCTTCTCTCATCTATGAACTGGTTTCTTACCCTCTCCTCTACAATCTAATATTGTTATAGTCGCCTCCTGATTTGATTACATTCATTAACCTTCCGATGCAAGTATTTTAATATTTAAATATAAAATGTTTGAATTAGATAACTAAACGCTTAAGATGTTTGAATTATATGCATGCCATTCCACCACCTCACCTTTATTAATATTAATCTTTAATTTAGATTTTAAAACTCTCAAACTCTAAGTCAGACAGTTTAGTTTTCAAATCAAAATAAATAAATGATATGAATTATGAGCAATTTCCATTTTATTACATCATATCATGTTCCAAACCTTGCCAATTATTTTTTGCCATACTATCTGCTTGAAACAGGGAATGGTTAGTGTGACTCTATCAGCTATACTGCCACATATGCGCCCTGCACCATGCCCAACTCAAGTGAACTGCCAAGAAGCCACATCCTCGCAACTGTTGATACTCTACATTTCTCTACTCCTCACATCTATTGGATCAGGTGGCATTAGACCTTGTGTTGTGCCCTTTTCAGCAGACCAATTTGATATGACCAAAAGTGGTGTGGAATCTAGGAAGTGGAACCTCTTCAATTGGTACTATTTCATCATGGGATTCGCTACTCTGAGTGCTTTGACCATTGTGGTTTACATTCAAGACAATATGGGTTGGGGCTGGGGCCTTGGAATTCCAGCCATTGCCATGCTGATATCCATCATCGCCTTTGTATTGGGCTCACCATTATATAAAACTGTGAAACCAGAAGGGAGCCCTTTGGTTCGTTTGGCCCAAGTGATTGTGGCAGCTGTAAAGAAGAGGAGGGAGGTATTACCAGACGATCCCAAGCTTTTGTACCAAAATAGGGAACTTGATGATGCTATTTCTTTGGAAGGAAGGCTTTTACACTCGGACCAATATAAGTAAGTCAAATATTCAAGCCAAAAACTTGAAGCATGGATAATGGGGGTAGGTTAGGTTATTGTTGGCTTTGCCTTTTGTGGGATTTTTAAACACCAACTTCAAAGCCTTCAATAATTAACTTAAAAAGTCCACTTTAACTCTTTAGCTCATTAACGATTTCACGCAGATTGCATGAACTGTATGAACGACTAAATTAACATGACACTTCATTGACCCAATATTTGCAAGTACCTTCATAATTCAGTGAGAATTTGCATATGCACACAGAATAACTACTTTATTGATCGAGTTTATACGTGCAGATGGTTGGACAAGGGTGCAATTGTCACAGAGGAGGAGGCCAGAGATCCAAATGCGCCACCTAACCTATGGAAATTAGCCACTGTCCACAGAGTTGAGGAGCTAAAATCTATCATTAGAATGCTTCCAATTTGGGCATCAGGAATTTTGCTCATAACTTCTTCATCACACTTGCACAGCTTTGTCATTCAACAAGCTCGCACAATGGATCGTCACCTCTCTCACTCATTCCAAATTCCCCCAGCTAGCATGTCTATTTTCGGTGTGTTAACCATGATGTCTGGCATTATTCTCTACGAACGCCTTTTTGTTCCCTTTGCTCGTAGGTTCACTGGGAACCCTGCTGGAATCACATGCCTACAAAGGATGGGGGTAGGCTTTGTGGTTAACATTATAGCCACAATAGTTTCAGCACTGGTGGAAATCAAAAGGAAATCAGTTGCTGCCAACTACCACTTATTGGATGATCCAAAAGCCAGTATTCCTATTAGTGTGTTCTGGTTGTTACCACAGTATTGCATACATGGGATGGGTGAAGTTTTCATGTCTGTTGGGCATATGGAATTTCTCTTTGATCAGTCACCTGAAAGTATGAGAAGCAGTGCTGCAGCTCTGTACAGCCTAACTGCAGCCATTGGGAACTATTTAGGAACATTACTGGTATCTTTAGTGCATAAGTATACTGGCAAGGAGAGGAATTGGTTGCCCGATAGGAACCTCAACAGGGGGAGACTGGAGTACTATTATTTTCTTGTTAGTGGGATTCAAGTTATAAATCTCATTTACTATTTAATATGTGCTTGGTTTTACACTTACAAGCCCTTGGAGGATATCAGTGAAAGGAACAACAAGGGAGAAGATATGGAACAAGCCAATGAAAGTATCTCATCTGTCAATTCAAAAGTAGGTAGGGAGGAAGAAAAGAGAGAATTTACAAACCATGAATGAACTTATCATGTCGTTGATATTAGTTAAGAAGCATTATTAAACTGTAATGAATGTTCAATTCCTCATCAAAAGGTATATGTAAGCACAAGCCAGACCATGTCTTATGTTTTATTTTCATGTGTACTTCTATAATCATTTGACATTAACTAGCCATTTTCCTAAAATATTAAAAATTGCTACCAAGATTGTATCTTATAATATCAATTAAAGTATCAAGTAACTCCAATTATCTAAGTTACCTCCAGTATTATAAATCACTCATTGGAATGATCTATCAAAATCTCAACTTCAATTAAGCAAAGAATATTAATCAACTCGCAATGGAAACAGCTAGCTTTATGTATTAATCCCATCAAATCAATAAGAAAGCATTTAACTTTTAACAAGCATAGAAAAATAACCTTAGATTCTAGAGTTTTGAGCAATCCTTTGACAAAGAAATTTATCTTTATCGAACAAAACTTAGATGAAAAGGGCAGAGAAACAAATACCTGCAGCACTTATCTTTAGGGTTTCAAGCGGAACTTCGAAGGAGAGAGAGAGAGAGAGCAGATTGAATTTGAATTGGGAATCGAATGAGAGACTTCGACACTTTTCTTCATCGGAGATGAGGTGGGTCCGATTACGGCAGGTTTTTTTACCGGCGGCGATCGTGACTAACATAGAGAATAGACGGTTTAGTGCCAACGTAATTTGGGAATCGTGGTTTCGCTGCACCGTGGTTTGACATATGAAATAAGTCAAATAACCTTCCCTTCACTCTCTTTCTGCATGGAAATTTAAGGGAATAACTGAGATTTAGGAAAGAGGAGGAAAAGCAAAATGCTTATGGGGAAACTGGGGCGGGAAGATTTGGAGAAAGGGGAGAGGTTTTGATTGTGAAAAACAGATGGAAGAAAGAAGAGTGGAATTTTTTATTTTATTTTTTAAAAAAGGAATGTGAAATTTTTTGGTTTAAAATTTTTTTTGGGATAACGGAAAATAAAAAATTAGAGTATAACATTTAAGTCGTTTTGACGGATTAATACGACTCTTTTTTGAATTGAATTTGTGAGGGACCACGATTTTAACTAAATGGGTTCATTTTGAATTTCTTAGGGACCACGAATAGTCATTTTATTTGTTAAGGACTAAAGCGGGCATCGTAAAATTTGCTGAGGACCAAAAATGATATTTACTCAAAAATTATTGAGTTGTAAGTTACTAAGGGCATGTTTGGTGCATAGTATATGATAAAGCTTGATAGTATAAGACTTGATTGTATAAGACCTGATTAAATTTTAAGGTGGTGTTTTGGTTAGAGGATTTTTGTAGGATGCATGGGGAAGTGAGAGTGGACATTCAATAATACCATGTTTGGTAGCACTTAAAAAAAAAATGCTGGGAAAATTGTATTGATGGAGAAATTTTGTGTGTGTAATCTTAAACCAAATTCTCAAAGAAAAATCCCACCCGGTATTGTGATTTTGCAGGGTAAATGAAAAAATTGATGCTAAATTTGTGTCAATATTCTCGGTAAAATTTTGACCTATCAAACAACTTTTGTTAACTTTCCTATCAGACTCATTTTTCTACCACTTCCCTAGTAATTAAATTTCTCCAGTATTCAAAAAAAATTTCCCCAACCAAACGCCCCTAATACTATCCAGCGTTTGGTACGGTATTGTATAAGATAATATCCTTCAATATTTTAAAAATTAATATATTAAAAAAAATTATTTTAATGATGAATGTCAACACCCATTTTTTTTTTCAAAATAATAATATCAAATTAAAAAAATGAGGAATACATTAAAACGAGAGAGATATTAAAAATTAAAAAAAATAATAATAATAATTTTAAATAAAAAAAGAGATTTATATGCATTTATTATAGAATAAAATTAGGAATGCAATATTTTTCATTTTTAAAATATGTCCCTAATAGAGATTTAGGGACGGATTTCAAAAGTATGATCTAACTTAAACCTCTTTTTTATGCATTTATAGAATAAAGAAATTGTATTATTGTTTTATACCAACATTTAATCAAAATTCAACTAAAAAACTGTAACAGTCTTACATGGGTTTTTTTAATGTGTTTTCTTTCTTGCTATTTAACTACTTCATCGCTCGATCTATTTCGCATTGTTTTCAAGGAAAACGAGGTTAAATGGGGCATATTCATTTGTAGGTCCCTAATAGGTCTCTAATTCTACACAATGGCCATAACACAAGTTGAATTTTGACACTTTAACTGAGTCTGTTGTAGGAAATTGCAGAAGTATAAACCCCTTTATTAAATACTTTATGAAATGTGTTTTCGCATCTATTTATTTATTTTGATTTTTTAATGTTGTTATGCACATGATCCTCGCGAAGAGGTAATTATATTTTTTAAGAGTTTCATGACATGCATAAAAACCCTTTCGAATATAGAGGGTTCATTTACTTGAAGAGGTAGTGTAATTATAGATTGAGACCACTAAATGACCTTTTCATAAAATTATAATTTTATCGATGTGACAGATTAAAAATGTGATTTCATTGGAAGATTATAGCCTTATAGGCGTAATCGTATAAAGGATCTAAATGTATATTATTTCATCCAAAGGAATTAAGTTCACATTTGTTCCGATGTGAGAATATCGTGATAGAAAAAAAAAATCTCGAGTGCTATTGAACAGTTTAAATTTATTCTTAATTTCACATCTCAACAACAAAATAGAACAACGTCTATGTGAAAATTGTAATTGTAAATCGTAACCTTTGTGTTATTGCGTAATGAACAAAGTCATTCATTCTAAATCCTAAGAGGTTCGCATCATGGTCATTAGCATGATTGTTTTTTAATTTCCCTGTCAATTTACCTTATATATGTGCAAACTAAAATTAAAGCAATGCCATATTCTTCATACATACGAACAAATTATACGTATATACATATGCAGGGTCCTAGCATATTGTGAGACAAATGGGGCTAGAGAAAAGCATTAAGGCTAATGGCGAGATGCTAGAGAAAAAAGATGAGCAAGACAATGAAAAGAAGCATCATCATCATCCACGAGGAGGCATTAGAACATTGCCATTCATTCTAGGTAACCGTACATCACTATGCGTCAATTCTTATTATCCATATTATATACAGATTCGGACGAATAAAATATAGAGTTAGACCTATGCTGTATATGCGGTGGTGCAGTAAATGATGTAATAGATTTGCAGCCTATGGTTGACCCTGCATTCTTATTATCATTTAAAAAAAAAAAAAAACGAAAAGCTTTTCCCTCGAATAACTAAATGAATATTTAAAAAAAAAATTGTCATCTTTAATTTTTTTTCCTCACATATTCTGTATGAAAAAAGTTAATTTGAACTTGTAAGGCGTTGTGCATATATATATCTGCAGGAAATGAATTGTGTGACACATTTGCTGGGGCTGGTTTTAATGCTAACTTGATAAGTTATCTGACCCAAGAGCTGAACATGCCATTGGTATCGGCCTCCAACACGCTTACAAACTTTGGTGGAACATCTAGCTTCACCCCTCTCATCGGTGCTCTCATTGCAGATTCCTTTGCTGGCCGATTTTGGACCATTACTGTTGCTTCTCTCATATATGAACTGGTTTCTTACTCTCTCCTCTACTGTCCAAGTTTGTAATAGTCGCCTACTGATTTGATTACATTCCTGAACCGTACTATACGAGTATTTTAAATATTCAAGTATAAAAATGTTTGAATTAGATAACTAAACACTTAAGATTGACATATATTTAATATGAAGATCAGAATTCAATAAATTTCTACATTCATATGTAGTAGCCAGCTAGCATATGACTTATTTTATAAAAATTAGATTTTTAAGTATTTTTTATTGAGTAATTATGATTCACTTTCAATATAAATACTATAATCAAATTATATGTAGTCAAGTAGTTATTTTACTTTACACAAACTCTTTTAATTATTTGTTAATAAGTAAGTGGATGATAGTGTAACACTTCAATAAAATTAATTTTTTAATGTTATAATACATTGTTAGTAAATACATGATTTGAATTATGAGCAATTTCCATTTTATTACAGCATATTGCCAATTAATTTTCCATACTATTATGCTTGACACAGGGAATGGTTAGTATAGCTGTATCAACTATAATGCCACATATGCGCCCTCCACCATGCCCAACACAAGTGAATTGCAAAGAAGCCACATCCTCGCAACTGGGGATACTCTACCTTTCTCTACTCCTCACATCTATTGGATCAGGTGGCATTAGACCTTGTGTTGTGCCCTTTTCAGCAGACCAATTTGATATGACCAAAAATGGAGTGGCATCTAGGAAGTGGAACCTCTTCAATTGGTACTCTTTCAGTATGGGATTCGCTACTCTAATTGCTTTGACCATTGTGGTTTTCATTCAGGACAATATGGGTTGGGGCTGGGGCCTTGGAATTCCCACCATTGCCATGTTGATATCCATCATCGCCTTTGTATTGGGCTTACCACTCTATAAGACTGTGAAACCTCAAGGGAGCCCTTTAGTTCGTTTGGCCCAAGTAATTGTGGCAGCTATAAAGAAGAGGAGGGAAGCATTACCAGATGATCCTAAACTTTTGTACCAAAATCGGGAACTTGATGATGCTATTTCTTTGGAAGGAAGGCTTTTACACTCGGATCAATTTAAGTAAGTCTAAATAAAAAAAAGGGTTAAGGATAATTTTATACCAATATAAATTACACTCTTAATTTTGAGTGTTGATTCTATTTATATCTAATAATTCTGATTTATTAAATATTTGAGCTGTTAAATGCAAGCAAATTAGTTATCAAAATTTGATGTAAGACTTCTTATTTTCTTACACCAATGTAAAATTATCATGCCGCAAAAAACAAAATATTTGGTTCTAAATATTTGCAAGTATGAATTTGCATTTGAACACGAGTTTTTATGTTCAGATGGTTGGACAAGGCTGCAATAGTAACAGAGGAGGAGGCCAGAGATCCAAATGCACCACCAAACTTATGGAAATTAGCCACTGTCCATAGAGTTGAAGAGTTAAAATCTATCATTAGAGTGCTTCCAATTTGGGCATCAGGAATCTTACTCATAACTGCATTATCACACCAGCATAGTTTTGTCATTCAACAAGCTCGTACAATGGATCGTCACCTCTCACACTCATTCCAAATTCCACCAGCTAGCATGTCTATTTTCAGTGTGGTAACCATGATGGTAGGAATTATTCTCTACGAACGCCTTTTTGTTCCCTTTGTTCGTAGGTTCACTGGGAACCCTGCTGGAATCACATGCCTACAAAGAATGGGAGTAGGTTTTGTGATTACCATTATAGCCACGTTAGTTTCAGCACTGGTTGAAATAAAAAGGAAAGAAGTTGCTGCAAAGTACCACTTATTGGATGATCCAAAAGCCATCATTCCTTTTAGTGTGTTCTGGTTGGTACCACAGTATTGGCTACAAGGGGTTGGTCAAGTTTTCATGTCTGTTGGGCATATGGAATTTCTCTTTGATCAATCACCTGAAAGTATGAGAAGCAGTGCTGCAGCACTGTATTGTCTAACTGCAGCCAGTGGGAACTATATGGGTACATTATTGGTATCATTAGTGCATAAGTATACTGGAGAAGAGAGGAATTGGCTGCCTGATAGGAACTTGAACAGGGGTAGATTGGAGTATTATTATTTTCTTGTTAGTGGGATTCAAGTTATAAATCTCATTTATTATTTAATATGTGCTTGGTTTTACACTTACAAGCCCTTGGAAGATATTAGTGAAAGGAACAAGGAAGAAGATTTGGAAACAAGCCAATGAAAATATCTCACCTGTCAATTTATAAGATAGAATGGAGGAATAAAAGAATTTTTTTTTTTTTTACAAATGATGAATTAAGTTATGATGTGTTGATATTAGTTAATAAGTATCGGAGAACTCTAATGAATGTTCAATTCCTCATCAAATGGCATATGTAAGCACGGCAGGTCACGTCTTTTACGTTATTTTTACTTTTAGTAAATGTCTTTTAAATGTAAGCATATATGTCTTCAAATGGCATATGAATACAGAAAAAAGGTTATGGATGTCGCCCAAGGTATAATTTTATGTGAATGATAGTTAATTTGAATGATGCAAATGAATGAATTAGGGTTGGTAAAATGGGCCAACCCGACCGGCCCGGCCCAACCCACATTCAACCCGAAAAAAATTAATCGGGTTAGGGTTGGCTCGAAAAAAAAACGAGTCAGAAAACCCAACCTAACCTGACTCGAGTCGGGTTAGGGTTGGTTCAAAAATATATGGCTCGTGGGTTGGCTCGAAAATTGGCTCGCGGGTTGGCTCGAAAATTGCTCGTGGGTTGGCTCATTTTCAGCCTATTTAAATGACCATGTAGTATTAATGCATCAGCTATGTGGCTTCCATTAGCTTAAACAAAGGGTTACAAAATGAGAAATAAAAGCAAAATATTTTAGTTTCGAATTTTCTTCACAACAAATTTGCATCAACATCAAGAAACAATCAGAACCACTTGCTACCAGGTGGGTAAGATATTTGAACCAAACAGAGTCAGCACAACCTAACAATATAAAAATGACAGGGATGTGAGAAGATTAGGGACTTAGGTTTAGAGAAGGAAGAAAAATGATGATAACATGTGTGAGTTTTGTCCATATTTGTATATTATATTTTGTATTTTTTTTAAAAACAAAACCCTCAACCCGCGAGTTGGCTCATTTGACCCGCGGGTTGACTCATTTTTTCACAAGCTCACTCGGGTCAGGTTGGCAGCTCATTTTTGCCAACTCAACTCGACTCATTTTTAGTGGGTTATGAGCCAACCCGACAGGTTGGCTCGTTTTTGCCAACCCTAGAATGAATGGGTGTCCCTGACTCATGGATCTATGAAGTGGGGTATTGATTGTGCTGCAATGTCATAACTATGATGTTTTTTTTGTAACGCCCGGCCACTTCAAGAATCAATGACTATCCCCACATACTAACACGAGACTTTTCAGTGTGCTTTTTCCTCATTCGCACACTTCTCGGGAAAACTTCCCAGGAGGTCACCCATCCCAGAATTGCTCCAAGTCAAGCACGCTTAACTATGGAGTTCTTCCGTTATAGGGTACCGAAAAGTATATGCATCTTGTTAGTATAGGTAGTACCAATTAATTATTATAAGTCATTCCTAACTGTACCGTCCCATACCAGCACAGTCTCTGGAATCCCTCTCTTTCGGTTGTTGATTCGATTCATTCATGAACCCCCAAGCTGCAAGATTTGGCATGAGCCGCTCATTGTCCGTGCCCTTTCGCACCAGCGATCACTCCCTGCCTTTGCCAGCTCTTGGGATGTTACATGCCCACCAGCTTCCGCCTAGTTCGTCCTCGAACCACACCGTACTGGAAGAGAGGCCCTGCTCTGATACCACTTGTAACGCCTGACAACTTGCAAGAATCAATGACTGTCCCCACACACTAACACGAGACTTTTCAGTGTGCTTTGTCCTCACTCGCACACTTCTCGGGAAAACTTCCCAGGAGGTCACCCATCCCAGAATTGCTCCAAGTCAAGCACGCTTATCTGTGGAGTTTTTCCGATCTGGGCTACCGAAAATTATTTGCAGTAGATCATGCATGAAGAAAATGATGTGATTGAGAGGTTCAGAGATATGCAATTATCTAAAATCTTTCCATGTAGAATTTGTGGCACCGAAATTACAAGCATTGCAAACGAACTGATGACCAGAATTAAAGAAGCTCAACTGCAAAATGAAAGTGCTAAACGACTGAAAGGTCAGAGTGGTGTATCCTGCAATGATGAGGATATACTATTATATCAGGGTCGTGTTGTAGTACCTAGGCAGTTGGCGGAGGAAGTAATGACAGAGGCCCATAAGGGTCATTTCACGGTTCATCCGGGAGCTACAAAGATGTATCAGAACCTAAAGATTAATTTCTGGTGACCTGGTATGAAGAAAGATATTGCCGAATTTGTCTCTAAGTGTCTCATTTGTCAGAAGGTCAATATTGAGCATCAAAAGCCTTCTGGTATGTTGCAACCTCTGGATGTTCCTGAATGGAAATGAGAGAGTATTTCCATGGATTTCGTAGTGGGATTGCTGCGAACACAGGCTAGTTATGATTCTATATGGGTGATTGTGGATAGATTGACAAAATCCGCACACTTTTTGCCAGTTCGGGTAGATTTCTCTGCTGAGAGATTGGCTAGGCTCTATGTGAAGGAGATTGTGAGGCTTCATGGGGTTCCTGAGAGCATTGTTAGTGATCGGGACCCGAAGTTCACTTCTCGCTTCTGGGGAGCATTGCAGGAGACTCTTGGCACTCAGTTGAGACTGAGCACTGCTTATCACCCACAGACGGATAGTCAGACTGAGAGGACCATTCAGACGTTGGAGGATATGCTGAGGGCTTGCACCCTGGAGCAGGGTACTGCATGGGATCGATATCTCCCGCTGGTTGAGTTCTCTTATAATAATAGTTTACATGCTAGTCCGGGTATGGCTACCTACGAGGCCTTGTATGGTCGCAGGTGTAGGACACCTACTTGTTGGTCAGAGGTTGGAGACACAGAGCGGTTTGTATTGGATTTTGTTCAGGAGACTACTGAGCAGATCAAAATGATTAGGGATCGTCTGAAAAAGGCTCAGGATCGTCAGAAAAGTTACTATGATCTCAAGCATCGACCTCTAGAGTTTGAGGAGGGAGATCATGTGTTCCTGAAGCTGTCACCAGTTACGGGTGTTGGACGAGCCCTTGGAGTGAGGAAGCTGAGTCCGAGATTTATTGGACCCTACCAGATTCTTCGTAGGGTGGGACCGGTTGCCTACCAGTTTGCCTTACCTCCTCAATTGGCAAATTTGCATGATGTGTTTCATGTTTCTCAGCTGAGGAGATATGTAGCTGATCCTTCTCATGTGGTTCAACCTGATAATGTTGAGATCCGGGAAAATTTGAAGACTCCTATTGGGCCACTGAAAATACTCGAAAGAGATGAGAAGAAGCTGAGAAATAAATCTATTTATATGGTGAAAGTCCAGTGGGAAGGAAGGACGCCTGAAGAGTCCACTTGGGAGCAGGAAGACGAGCTTCTCCGTCAGTATCCTGAGTTTAAGGACATGTACGTTGATTTTGCGGACAAAATCGCTAAAAGGTGGGGTGACTATAATAGCCCTAACCCAATTAATTAGCAAATTACATGTAGTTAAATAATTAAGCATGTTTTAGTGAGTAAAATTAAGTATAAGGCTTAATTAAATGAATCTGAGTCACTTTGGAGTTAAAGAGTGTACTCAGTGAAAATTAAGGGGTATAAATGGATACTGGCGAAAGTGCCCAAAATATAAAAAAAAATTATAAATATTCCTAGAATAATATTTCAGACTTTTGGGTAAAGTTTGGTAATTAATGGAGCGGAATAGATAGACGAACTAATACCCACATATTATCACTTAACATATGTTAAGTGACAAAAAGAGAAAAAGAACCCACTTCCCCCCAGAAACCCGTCGAGAAACAGAAGGAGGGAAAGAAGAGAGGAAGAAGAGAGAAAGGAAGGAGAAGAGGGAGATAGAGAACCTAGGGGAGGCAAACGTTGACCAAATCTATCCGTTCAAAAGCCTAAATCGCTTAGAATCTCCTTCTCTTTCATAATCCTAGCTTTGTTTTGAGTGGGGAGCATTGTGGAGAGGGATATTGGCTCTCAAAAATTCGCCCATTTGGTGAAATTTGGGATTTTGAGTGCTTCAACCTCCATTGAAGCTTGAGGAGCCATCAATCCTTGGTTGTGCAACCGTTGGTGGTAAGATTCTAACCCTTGAACCTTGTTTTCTTGGAAAATTTCATGGTTAGGGTTTAATGAATAGTGTTTTAGGGTTTTTATGAAATGTTGAGTAGATTGGCTATGTTCAAGGAAGAATGAGGCTTAGAGTATGTTGAGAAAAATGCTAGGAATGACATTTAATCGGTAGAAATGAGTTTATAGTGTTATTTTAGTATGCTTTGATGTTTGGAGAAATCTAGGCTTGGAACTATGGATTTCCTTGCATAGTTAGCATTGTTTATTGTATTCCTTGTGTTGATAGGATTGAGGCAAGAAGACCAAGTGGAGTGACCAACCCTTGGGGTTGTGTGCAATTGAGGAAAGCTCAAGAGCAAGGTAAACCTTTGGACCTTGGGGTTGATCCCATTGAGTGTTCCACCATACTCCATTGAGGAGAAATGGTTTATGAGATGTGATATGTAATTATGATAGTAATTGTATGCTCATGCATTGATACATGTTATGATTGATTGATGATTATTGGTTGATGTTTGATTGTTTAAGAGTAATTGAGGAATGGTTATAGAAGTAGCAATAATGAATGAGGTGAGGGTTGAGGATTGTGATTGAGGTTATGAGTGATAGTATTATGATGAGGATAATTGGTAGGAACTTCCCTTGGAAACAGCCCTATGTGGATCTCCATGTGGTTAGAGCCTAAGAGGAACAGCCCTATGTGAATCCCTCTTGGAGGTTCCTAGATTGAGGAAAGGATTTCCCTTGGAAACAGCCCTATGTGGATCTCCATGTGGTAAGAGCCTAAGAGAAACAGCCCTTAGTGGATCTCTCTTGGAAGTCCATGTGATACTTGCTGATAAGAATGTGTTAAGCTATTATGATTATGTATACATCGAAAGTGAACCTTAGGGTGGAGTGATCTCCAAGGACCCCTGGTTTACTGGATATATTCGTATATCTCACCCCGTGTTGTGGGGACCCCCTTTCAGGTAAGGATGCTACAGGAGCCTCTGGTGGCAAGTGGCCATATCTGGATTAGCATATGCATGAAGTGTTGCATTTTTTTGAGATTATACATGTTGTTTTGTAGCTCACATGTATAGAATTGTAATTAATAGGCAATGATAGATTTATGATTTGTATATTGGAATGGACTTAGCCTATGCTCATGCCTTTGGTCATCTCTTTTGTTGATGGGAGCCAAGGGAATGATCATAGTGTTTTGTAAGCTAAGTTCCATGATTTGTAATGAATATGTACTGTAAATGATGCCTACTTGAAATTCAATATATGCATGCTTGTTATGTATTGAGTTATTGAATTGGTTGGGCTGAGAATCAATTAGGTACCTTTTGTTTAAATTGGGAAACGTTGAGAAAACAAAGGTTATGCTGCCCAAATTCTAGCTAAATCTCATGAGGAGAGGTTGGATGAGTGCTAGGATTAAGTTGTGAGGCATGAACCATTGAGGTTTGGAATGGGGATGCATATTTCCCTAGACTTGGACTTGAAAAATGAGGGTAATGGAACTCCCTGGCAGCGCGCTTTAGCGCCCTGCTGCCCCTGTGAGAGCCAATGCTTTCGGCTTCTTCGCGTTGGAGCGCCCCGGATCGAGCGCTTGAGCGCCCTCAGCCGCTGAAGGAGGAGATGCTTCTGCCTCTGCGCGCTAAAACGTTCCAAATGGGGGCTTAAGCGCCCAGGATAGCTCGCTTGAGCGCCCTGGTGCGCGCTTAAGCGCCTAATTATACTGAAAAAACCTGATGTTTCCTGCCTCCGTGCGCTTAAGCGCCCAGATGGAGGCTTTAGCGCCCGGTAGCGCGCTGAAGCGCGCGGGGCCTATGATCAACACCCTTTTGTGTTGCTTCCAATTGTCATAACTTGGGCTACAGTTCTCTGATTTGAGCGCGGTTTGAAGCCACGCGTAGCTAATAAAGAGATCTACGATATAGTAGAAGTTGGGAAATAAATAAGAACATGATGTTAAGCTTGATTTATCTGATTCCGCAAGGTAATATGGTTATAATCACGCAATTGGATATTTTAAATTCGGCGTCGTTTTAAAAAGAAAAATTTATCCGGATTTTAATTGAGCCAATGTGATTGTAACTGCGCTTAATATCATAACGAGATGTTAACAAACCGGTTCTAGAACAGGGTGTTACATTTTTTATTAAGAGTGCAATAATATTTTGTTGTATCATTTACGTTTTGAGGGGATGATGGGCATCTATGACAATTATCAGGAAGTATGTGGATCAATTTATGTGAGTTATTTTAATTTAAAAATAATTTCGAGTTTGAGTCTTGAATACGCAATTGTGTTACATTGGTAACTTTATTGTTTTTGTGATTATACTTGACTTGATCGGATTAATTGAGTAATTGATTAATCGGTGCAGAAATATATATATATATATATATATATATATATATATATATATATATATATATATATATATATATATGACAATTTTATATTATGATAAAAAAAGAATTTAAGACGAAAAGAAAGTAAACTTCTATTTTTCTAAGCCTAAGCGTTGAGTATTTCAAATAGCTAGGCAGCAGCTAAGTTCGCTATATCACTGCAGGATTTAAGGACGATTCTGGACTTCTAAAGCTCAAGGGTTCTAGATTGCTTCATAAATCAAATGTATAAGGATCCAATTCATGATTCATGAAGCTAACCATACGGTGATTTTGAGAAAAACAAAACAAAAAAAACTCATCTGATGAGGCATGTTTTGTAAAAAGAATTAAAATTTATAACTATTTTTTTTTTGTTTTAGAATCAAATTTAAAGAATATATCTGACTTGTTTTTATTTTATAATTTGACTTTTAACTTTCAAAAAAATAAATAAATAGAAAATACGTATTTTATTAATTATTTTAAAAAACAGTTTTAAGAAAAAAAAAACCAAAATGTTTATCAAACACACCCAAGGTCTCCAATCCCCGTCTCTTAAATCCTTAGGTTGAAGTCTTGCAATCCTCCCATATGAATATGAAGAGTTTCACCTTAGTGCGTGTATGGATTAACTTATTTTGAGCACAAAAAACTTTTATATCAATTTCTTGAGAGAGCTTAAAAAAAGATTATTTCTCCCAAAAAAAAAAAAAACAAGCCGAACCAAACATGCAATGAATGTGTTGAAAACTGCCAGAAGGAAATTTTGTACAGACAGTGAAGTGTGTAAACGTGGCTTTGGTTGTGCATTTAAGTGTTGTATTGTTCAGCAATCAGTTGCACCTATTAGACAGGGGACTAGAATGCTCATTGCAGTGAAGAGGCAATCAAGGTTTCCAATAAGACTGAGTGATTGGTGAGAGTGTTTGCATTTTGAAACATATGAAAATATCAAATTATTTTAAATGGATAATTTTGGTAATTTTGCCTTTTGTAATGTTGGTATCAAAATATATTATATTAGTTATCATTGATGATTTTTTCTTTTCTTTTCTTTTTCTTGAGTACATGGTTATAGGCTATCTTTGGGATACGACACAGTACTCCGACACGTTAATTCTAAAAAATATTACATTTCGACACGTTAAGATACATTTTGATATTTAATAATATTTTTAATTTATGTAATGTATATTATATTTAATATTCAATAATTTAACAAAAAAATAAAACTAAACTTATAAGACCATCAATCTTGCAAAGAAAAATAAGATGTAAATATTTACTATTATATTTTCAAATTGAAAATCTCTATGCTCCAATGAGATTTATTTGATATCAATTTTTAATTTTTATTAAATGAGTTTGGTAAAATATCAATCAATTTTTTCATGATATGTAATTTAATTTAAAATATTATAGATGTTGGAGCATGTCAGAGTATCGGACACGACACTTCAAATGTGGGTGCAATAGGTTATAGGAAAGTGATACAATTGAGCTAATGCAGTTTGAAATATTCTCCCTTGATCCTTTTAATTGTGAAATGTGTTTTTGTTATTTATAAAATTCTCTTATGAAACGTGTTTCCGCATTTAACTTATTTTTGTTATGCACATGATCCTCGCGAAGAGGTAATAAGTACAATTATTTTATAACACTTTCATGACATGCATCTAAGAACTTAACCTTTCGAATAGACAGGGTTCATTTACTTGAAGAGGTAGTATGATAGATTGAGACCATTAAATGACCTTTCATAAAATTATAATTCAATCAACGTAACAGATTAAAAATGTGATTCCATTGCGAAGGTTGTAGGCGTATTGGTGGAAAGGGCCTAAATGTGTATCACTTTAACCAGACTAATTAATTTCACATTATAGTCATTATCATGGTTGTTTCTTAATGTCCTTATCAATTTACCTTAGGTGCAAACAAAAACTACATGGAAGGCAATGCCATATTCTTCATATATACGAACAAATTATATGTAAAATGTATGCAGAGTCTCTAGCATATTGTAACACAAATGGAGCTAGAGAAAAGCATCAAGGCTAATGGCAATATGCTAGAGAAAAAAGAAGAGCAAGACAACGAAAAGAAGCATCATCATCCACGAGGAGGCATCAGAACATTGCCCTTCATTCTAGGTAATTATACATCACTACGTATCACTTCTTGTTATCCATATAATAGTACAGTTTAGGACTTAATAAAATTTGAGTTAACTCTGCATTGTATATGCGGTGGTGCAGCAAATGAAGTATGTGATAGATTTGCAGCCTATGGTTATTATTCGAACCTGATGAGTTACTTGACCCAAGAGCTGAACATGCCATCGGTAACGGCCTCTTACACTCTCACAAACTTCGTTGGAACACTTTACCTCACTCCACTTGTTGGTGCTCTCATTGCTGAGTCATGTGCCGGGGCATTTTGGACCATCACTGTTGGTTCCCTTTTCTATGAACTGGTCTCTCCCTCACTTCTATCTCATCAATTTTATAGCTGCTTCAGTGGTTTTCTCATTCATAATTGTAAAATCTGATGTGCTGTTTGGTAAAGGCACATTGCATTAAGGATTGAACTAGTGAATACTTAGTCACAGAATCTTTGATATCATGTAAAGAACTATTTTAACCCAAAAGTTTAAATTATTAGATAAAAGCACATTAATGGACTTATATTTTATATATTGTTTCTATAAATGATGTGAATAATAATCGAAAGAAAAATTAAAAACATCCTCAAATGTAGAACTCCCCTTGGTAGGGTGCCACCATATCAACACTTATACATAACACATTATATTAATACAGCTCCATTTACTTGATACATTATTTCTGAGTACTATATCTGTATTGTGAGCAGTTTCCTAGATACAATACAAAATTATTGTAGTTGCAACTTCTTGATGCAGGGTATGCTTGGTCTTACTATATCTGCATCTTTGCCATCTCAACGTCCACTACCATGCCCAACTAAAGTGAATTGCCAAGAAGCAACATTCTCGCAGGTGTGGACATTATATCTGTCTCTCCTCCTCCTATGTCTTGGCTCAGGGGGAATTAAGCCATGTGTTATGCCCTTTTCAGCAGACCAATTTGATATGTCAAAAAGTGGTGTGGCAGCAAGAAAGTGGAACCTTTTCAATTGGTACTCATTTTTCATGGGATTGGCTCCACTAACTTCTTTGACCATTGTTGTTTATATTCAAGAAAACATGAGCTGGCGCTGGGGGTTTGGGATCCCTTCCGTTGCCATGTTGATAGCCATCATTGCTTTTGTTATGGGTTCACCACTTTATAAGAAAGCTAAACCACAGGGGAGTCCCTTGGTTCGATTGGTTCAAGTCATTGTTGCAGCTATGAAAAAGAGGAAGGAGGCTCTTCCAGATGACCCTAAGCTTTTGTATCAAAATATAGAGCTTGACGCTGCTATTTCTTTGCAAGGAAGGCTTTTGCACTCAGACCAGTTCAAGTAAGTCAAGTTATTAGTTCTTAATTTTCAAGTAACTTTAGCAAGTTTTTGAAAATAGGGCGAGTCTTGAAGTAGCAATAAGGTTATTCCTTGTGGGTGGAAGGTTATGAATCGAATCTAGAAAACTGTCTGTTTACAAAAAAATATATATAAGGATAAGGCTGCGTATAATCAACCCTTATCCTTACTCTCACAAGTCAGTGAGTCTTGTGCATTAGAATTTGCCCTTTAGCAAGTTTGTTTCTGAAACCGAATACAATTTTACAATCTTATGCATAAAATGTAACCCGAGGATCCTTTAGGTTATATATACCTTCCCACTAACATCTCAAAATTGCAAATGAAAATTGAAAAGTATCATCCTTGCATCAAGATTATTAAGTGCTTTATTGCCTAACTGCTACTTATTATCTCCGCAGATGGTTGGACAAAGCTGCAATAGTAACAAATGAGGAGGCCAGTGATTCAAAATTATCACCAAACTTATGGAGATTAGCCACTGTCCATAGAGTTGAGGAGCTAAAATCAATGATTAGAGTGCTTCCCATTTGGGCATGCACCATATTGCTTGTAACATCATCAGCACATAACAACAGCTTCCTCATTCAACAAGCTCGTTCAATGGATCGTCACTTCATTCCCTCATTCCAAATTCCACCAGCCAGTATGCAGATTTTTAGTGTTCTTACCATGATGATTGGGGTTATAGTATATGAACGCCACTTTGTTCCCTTTGCTCGTAGATTCACAGGGAACCCTTCTGGCATCACATGCCTACAGAGAATGGGAGTAGGCCTTGTGATTAACACAATAGCCACCCTTATTTCAGCACCTATTGAGATAAAAAGGAAAGCTGCTGCTGCAAAGTACCATTTATTGGATAACCCTGCAGCTACTATTCCTATTAGTGTGTTTTGGTTGGTACCTCAGATTTGTCTACATGGTATGGCTGAGGTTTTCATGTCTATTGGACATTTGGAGTTTCTCTATGATCAGTCACCTGAAAGCTTGAGAAGCAGTGCAATGGCTCTTTTTTGTTTTTCCATATCCGTTGGGAGCTACTTAGGTACTGTGCTGGTATCTTTAGTTCATAAGTGTACTAGTAAGGAAAGGAATTGGCTCCCTGATAGGAACCTCAATAGGGGTAGATTAGAATACTTTTACTTGCTTCTTAGTGGGATTCAAGTCATAAATCTCATTTATTATGTCATATGTGCTTGGTTTTACACTAGCAAGCCCTTGGAAGAAATAACTGAAATATACAGGGAAGAAGATTTGGAACAGGCCAAAGATAAAATATTGCTACCTGAAAGTGATGGTAAGGAGGAGCAACAGAGGAAACTTACCAAAGATGATGAATAAGTTCATGATCGGTTATAGTAGCTGAGCATTATTGGCTTTAGTAGTGTTACTTCCTTTCCTTTCAACATGTATGATCGAGGTCAGGGCATAGCTTGTTTCGTTTGTTTATTTGAACTATATGCCGCTTATATGGTTATAATTCCTTTCAAAATAACTGTGGTTAAGGTGATATTTGGTATTCATCCTAATAGTTTTAGTCTTTTAGATATCAGTTAATGGGATATTATCGAGACAAATTGTGTCATGTAACTCATAAAGAAGTGAGTGAGACCCATTAAGTAGAAGAAAGAAAAAAGAAATAAATGGATTCTATCTACTTTTTTGTATATTGCATGAGATAAACTATCTCATAACATAAGAAACAATATTCTCTCGGTTAGTATATGATTTTATAAAATAATTGTATCTTAGTTTTATATAATAGTTTTTTTTATGTTTCTTAATTTGATGATGTATTTTATATGCTTGCCAATTTCATGGATTGTAATTTTTTGTTTCTATAATTAATGGGGAAATCAAATATCATGTTACAGGATATTTGATTCTCGTCCTGCAGAGTAATCAAAATTTGTGCATCATTTTTTTTGTTTTTTTTTATAAAAATCGGTGGGGCTCATTTATATTGTGTCTGTTGCATGATATAAACTTCCTCATGTGACATATATTCATAAACCCTATAATTAATATTGTAAATATTAGATAAATGGAATGAGATTGCTCACGAATCTCTGAATGCATTCACAAATTCTTATAAACATAGTAATGGTATTAGCCAAAACTTTCAACCCCATGTCAATCTTCTAAGATGTTTGTTGTCATCGTTACCACAGAAAATGGCTGCACCTGTATCATTGCCAATCAAATCCAACAACTTTTCACCCTCACTCCTCTTGGTAAATATGGTGGTTGATATTTCCCCTTCTCACTCTTTTTCTTCTTGGATCATCAGTTCTAGTGCTACAAATTTACAAAACATATTTCTTTTACTCCTAATATATTTGATTCTCTTTCACATGTAATACTATTCTAACTATATCTTTACCAATTTCAGCTCATGTTATTCGTATTGGATTCATCACACTATTTTCTGGTTTTGTTCCTAATCGAATACCACTTGTTTTGACATTCAAATACAATTTGCTATCTATTAGTGTTGTGATCACGACAAGTGCATCGATCGTATAAGTATATCGGTCGTACAAGTAATAAAATAATAAATAATAAATTATTTCCACGAGGATTGAAGTACAAGTGTATCGTTATAATAATGTGAGATCTTTTGAAGTATAATGACCAAATTGAAAATATTATCAAATATAAGGACCAAAAATATATTATTCTTGATTCTTATACATGAAACATGGCATAAAATGTACCAAATATTAACGTATGGCACTCCTCCTCGCAAATTAGATTTGATATACCATGTCTGTTCTAATTTTTATATACCACGCCTATTCTAATTTCTCTTAAAAAAAATTTGGTAAACAATTTCTCTTAACTTTTTTCCTTCTCAAGTATCTCATACTTTCCAATTTCATTAATAATAAGTATAACGGGTGAATACCAATCACTAATACTACGAGAAAAATGGATTTTGTTGATGGTTCTAAACAATGTTTAGCAGCGATTTGAACCACCACTAAATATATTAGTAATGTTTATAAATTGCCATCAATCATGTACTCAATAATTTATTTAGCAACGATTTTTATTTTAAAAAGCATTTAGCTTTTAAATTGTCACTATTATTGTATTAAAGTATTAAATGATAACTTTAGAATTGTTTCCGAGATCTGAAACTGCTACTAAATTTTTTGAAATTTAAAATTATAAAGAGAAAAATAAAAGTCACGGTATCAAAAAGAAATATCATTGTTATACTTTAAGTTAAAAAAATGATATAGTGCATGGATCAGGTTTGGGGGTAACAGGTACAATTCTGAAGTAATTAAATCGAAAGCAAAGAAAACACATAACTCCTTCCTTGCTTTGGACAGATCTGATATTCACTTGTCTTATGCTGATGTAATGATTAGTTGGGCTCCACCTGAGATTAGTTGGGTGAAATTGAACACAGTTTCGAAAGGCAACCCGAGTTTCCCAGAAGGTCAATGGCTTGATGCATTCTCTTACGAGGTTGGACTCTACAATGCAATAATAGCTGAATTGTAGGGCATTCTTAAAGCTTTACAGTTGGCTTGGAATGGTGGTCGGAGAAATCTAATTGTTGAAAGTGATTCTGTTACTGTTATCACTTTGCTCAGCAAAAGCGATGTAATGATTTGGACAGATCTGATATTCACTTGTCTTATGCTGATGTAATGATTAGTTGGGCTCCACCTGAGATTAGTTGGGTGAAATTGAACACAGTTTCGAAAGGCAACCCGAGTTTCCCAGAAGGTCAATGGCTTGATGCATTCTCTTACGAGGTTGGACTCTACAATGCAATAATAGCTGAATTGTAGGGCATTCTTAAAGCTTTACAGTTGGCTTGGAATGGTGGTCGGAGAAATCTAATTGTTGAAAGTGATTCTGTTACTGTTATCACTTTGCTCAGCAAAAGCGATTATGCAGCCTGTGAGTCTCATTTGGTGACTCGGATACGGGCTTGGCTTTTAAGAAGTTAGTCGATGCGTCGGGTGCATATCTATAGAGAAGGCAACATTTGTGCTTATTGGCTGGCTAATCTTCCTCTTCAGTGTCCTGATCAGGAAGACTATTTGAGATTTCAATCTCCCCTTCAAGGAATTAGATGGTTATTTTTTTCTGATTTTAGCTCTGTTCATAGAAGGAGGAGAGTTTTGAATTAGTTTTTTATTTTATTTGTTTTGCTTTTTTGTGTTGGCCTTTGGCCTTTATTTCACAAAAAAATTAAAAAATCATGTATGTGTACCACGATATAAGAAAGATTGTTATTCTACTAAGTTAATGGGGATTGTTCCTCCTTTATTGTCTTGGCAACTGAGCATGCTGAGTATTAAATGCATAGGACTCCATGTCTTTTTTTTAAGATATTCCAATCGGTTTATCGCTTCGCGACTAGTCTGATTCAAGGTAGGTCCCGATATTAAGGCTTTAAATTCCTTCCAAAAATAGTACAGTAGAGAATCGAACACATGCTCACACCCCCACCTGCTCGGTTCTCTAACACCAACTGGGCTATCATTATTTGGTCATAAGACTCTATGTCTAAACAACAATCCAAATAAATGCAACCATCTCATTAAACGAAGAAGATTATGGAAGAAGAGATGATATGTTTACTCCATCTATATAACGAGATTAAATCAGAAAGAGAAAGGTTAGATAGTTTGTTTAGGAGTTCTGTTACTGGTCTCACATTGGTGCCTATACAGCTAATGTGGCTTTTATAAGGTCTTAGACACTTTCACCCTTTGAGCTAGTTGAAAGGGTGTCTCACATTAGTTGTATAGGCAACTAATGTGGGACTTGTAATATTACCATCCCCTTTAAGGGCCGACGTCCACGGCGGCTTTCACTCTATCGACATTGACTCAATGGTAACCATTTCTCTTTTGACGGCTTCACTTACCTATCAATATTCAGTACAACACCCCTTTGGGAGATATGACACCTTAATCCAGCCTATAGGTAACCCTTTCTGTGGCCTCACCACTGTTGTGTCTCGGAGCCCAGTAATTTTAAGTTCGGCCTCAGATTCAATTAGTCTGGCCTTCTTCTGGTCGGCCTACGGAAGCGACAGTGAACAATAACAACAAATCAAAAATATAGATAGGGAGGAAGAGAACACCAAGAATTTTAACAGGGAAAACCTCTTCGATGTGAAGAGTAAAAACTATATGACCAAATCCAGAAAATCATCCACTATGAATAATGAGATTTGTAAAAGATTCTCTTAACTCAATAACCAGAGGACTTGACCCTCTAAAGGATGGATATATTTACAAGTGCCTCACACAAGTGTTTCTCTCTGTAAAGGGGATAGAGAATCCTACTTTACAGGGTATTCTTCTTCTTCAGCGATGGCATTAGGTTTTTTCCTCAGAGAATCTTCATCTCTGACTTGCATTTTTCTTCCTTCTTCTTCAGCGATTGCATTAGATTTCTTCCTCAGAGAATCTTCATCTCTGACTTTCATTTTTCTCCAGCGCGTTTCTCTTTCTTTTTTTTTCTTTCTTCTTTTCACTCTTTTATCAGTATTCAGTACAACAACCTTTTGGGAGGTATGACACCTTAATCCAGCCTATAAATAGCCCTTTATGTGGTCTCAACTCTAAACATGAGCACCAATTGTTACGGACCTTGAGGTCATCACCTCAAAAGCTAGCTTAAAGGGTGAGAGTGTCCAAGACCTTATAAAGGCCACGTTAGTTGTATAGGCAACTAATGTGGGACTTGTAACAAATTCCTCCTGAGAGAAAGATAGATTATATACCTCTTCTGAGAAGAGAAGAACTTTGTGTATTACATCCTTGTGAGGGTGAAGAATTGTATAATCCTCTATTGAGATATTAAGGAAGAACTCTTGTAATCCTATTATTCATAAAGTGAAATATTTTTTTGCCTAGGTCCCGTGATTTGTACCTTTCAGCATTTGAAAGAGTTTTCCACATTATAAATCGATGAATTTTTTTTATCTTTCTCTCCATTTCATGCAAACTAGGCTAACCTATTAATAGGTTTCACTCCAAATGTCAAATTGCTTGAACTCGTCTTGAAGTTTTTATCTTGTTTCCGCACTAATCAAACAGACCTTATCCCAACATAAGTGGATTCAACAAACCAATATTTCTTTAGTTGCTTGAAAAAAAGATACAACAAGAATAGACTAATTGCATCATATTGGTTAAAATTAAAAAAAAAACTCAAATATAAGAGAAAAATAAATATGAATGATGAAAGAATATTGGCATTAGAAAACGTTAACAAAAAAAATTATATTATCATTTTTATATAAGTATTATTTTATAATACTTTAATATTTACAAAACAAGAAAAAGTTTATATAAAAAATT